AGATCCTGTGTCAAAATAATCATACATAAATGAAAGAATCAGTACTTCAGTCATCATCAAAATTCACATGCCCATGAAGTAAGTGAAGTGTAATTTGGGAGCTAAGTGTAATTTAGAAGTTTTGTTCTCCATTTACTTTTCTTTGAGACAGTTTCACTGTCATCCAGGCTGAAGCGCAGTGGTGCAATCTTAACTCACTGCAGCCTCGACCTCCTGGGTTCAAGCAATTCTCCCACCGCAGCATCCTGAGCATTTGGGACTATAGGCATGGACCATCATGCCTGGCTTTTTTTTTTTTTTTTTTTGAGACAGAGTTTTGCTCTGTCATCCAGGCTGGAGTGCAGTGGCGCGATCTCGGCTCACTGCAACCTCCGCCTCCCAGGTTCAAGGGATTCTCCTGCCTCAGCCTCCTGAGTAGCTGGGATTACAAGCATGCGCCACCATGCCCGGCTAATTTTTTGTTTCGTTGTTTTGCTTTTGGATTTTGTTTTTGAGGTGGAGTCTCACTCTGTTGCCCAGGCTGGAGTGCAGTGGCATGATCTCGGCTCACTGTAAGCGCCACCTCCCGGGTTCAAGCGATTCTCCTCCTCAGCCTTCCCAGTAGCTGGGACTATAGGCGCCTTCCACCATGCCCAGCTAATTTTTTTATTTTAGTAGAGACGTAGTTTCACCATGTTGTGCAGGCTGGTTGCGAACTCCTGAGCTCAGGCAGTCCGCTCACCTCAGCCTCCCCAAGTGCTGGGATTACAGGTGTGAACCACTGTGTCCAGTCAATGTTTGTATTTTTAGTAGAGATGCGTTTTCCCCATGTTGGCCAGGCTGGTCTCAAACTCCTGACCTCAGGTGATCTGTCCACCTTGGCCTCCCAAAGTGTTGGGATTACAGGTGTGAGTCACTGCACCCAGCCTAATTTTTGTGGGGTTTTTTTGGTAGAAACAGGGTTTCACCATGTTGCCTAGGCTTGTCTTAAAGTCCTGGGCTCAAGCAATCCGACCTTGGCCTTATATGATCTTTATTCTGGTTCTTTTAATCTTTGTTAAATACCTTACGGGGTCCCCAGTTCTGGGAACATGGATAGGTACTGGTCTGTGGCTTGTTAGGAACTGGGCCACACAGCAGGTGAGTGGCAGGCCAGGGAGCATTACTGCCTGAACTCTGCCTCCTGCCACATCAACGGCAGCATTAGATTCTCATAGGAGTGTGAACCTTGTGGTGAACTGTGCATGTGAGGGATCTAGGTTTTGTGCTCCTTATGAGAATCTAATGCCTGATGATCTGAGGTGGAAGAGTTTCATCCTGAAACCATCCCCCTCACCCCAACCCACAGTCCATGGAAAAACTGTCTTCCAGGAAGCTAGTTCCTGATACCAAAAAGGTTGGGGACCACTGCCTTATACTATCTTAATCTGTGTCAAATATCTTATACTATATTAATCTTTATTAAGTATAGATGGATTTGCTTTTAAAGAGATCACCCAGAATGTTGTTTAGGTATTGATAAATTGAGGAAACCCTCTCTCCCACTTCATGATTCCAACCCTCAAGATTGGTGTTCCAATATTAGTTCCAGGGATATATGAGAATGCACCATAGAAAATAAAATAAATAATAAATTAAAATAAATAAATATACATTTGCCTAAGGCAAAAGTAGTTGGGTGATGAAAGAAAAATGGAAATTGCTGTGGTTAAGAATAGCGACTGCTGGCCGGGCACGGTGGCTCATGCATGTAATCCCAGCACTTTGGGAAGCCGAGGCGGGCAGATCACGAGGTCAAGAGATCGAGACCATCCTAGCCAACGTGGTGAAACCCTGTCTCTACTAAAACTACAAAAATTAGCCGGGAGTGGTGGCATGCACCTGTAGTCCCAGCTACTTGGGAAGCTGAGGCAGGAGAATTACTTGAACCCAGGAGGCAGAGGTTGCAGTGAGCCGAGATCGTACCACTGCACTCCAGCCTGGCGACAGAGCAAGACTCCATTTCAAAAAAAAAAAAAAAAAAAAAAAGAGCAACTGTTAAATACATGAAATGAGTTTTTGTTCCTTATGAGTAAATATTGCAATGAAATTTTAGGGAAATATTTCATATAGGTAGTCACATTAGTCAATAAATTATCAAGTGTGTCAGACTTCAGTTGAGGCAGCTGGATCTAGCAAAAAGAGGCCTGAACTAGAAATCAAGACTTCCAGGTTCCAAGCGGGTTCTGCTGCTCATTAATGGAGCATTTTCTAGGCTTGTTGTATCCTCTGTTTGCTTTAAAAAAAAAAATTATTGGATAACCTCTATGTCCTTTCTCAGCTCTAAAATTCTAAGAAACACTGGTAACTTCTCTAATACAGATCATGTGATACTCTACCATCATTGCAATTTTCTCTCTGATGTCTCAAGGAAGGTATTTCGTTTTATGGTTTCTAAATTTGGAATATAAATTAAATATAATATAAATTAAATCAACTTGGCATTATAAACATGGATACTTAGTATAAACTAGGTAGTAATTCTTTATCTGATTTCTTATGAACAATATTTGCCCTCCTTGTTTTTGTTTCTTAAGGTTTCTTCCTCTTGCATTGCCTTTATTTATTTATTTACTTATTTACTTTTGAGTTGGAGTCTCACTCTATCACCCAGGCTGGAATGCAGTGGCATGATCTTGGCTCACTGCAACCTCTGCCTCCCGGGTTCAAGCAATTCTCGTGCCTCAGCCTCCTGAGTAGCTGGGACTACAGGTGTGTGCCACCACGCCCAGTTAATTTTTGTATTTTTAGTAGAGATGGGGTTTCACCGTATTGGCTAGACCGGTCTCGAACTCCTGATCTCAAGTGATCCACCCGCCTCAGCCTCCCAAAGTGCTGGGATTACAGGTGTGAGCCACTGTGCCCAGCCACTTCCTTTTGCATTGCCTTAAAAAAAATTTACTTGTGAATATTGTTTGCAAGCTGAAGTTGAAAAAAACTCTAAGAGAATGTAGTTAAGACTCTCATCCTGTACCATCAACAAAACCAGTGCTGCATGAAATCTGGGTCCTAGGGTTGACTCCTATAGGGCCGGTGACTTCATTCTGACCTTCAGGATCACAGCAGGATCAAAATTGCATCACTTGTTACCAAGGAAACTGGGTGAAATGTTCTGAAGATCCCTCCATTTCCTGTCTTCAGCTGGTGTCCTGTCTCCTCTCTTCCAAAGCTAAATTTCTCCATTTTCTCCTCTTTCCTTTTTTTCTTGCCATAGATTCATGTAAGAATATTTTACAGACTGCCTTTTACCCCTATGTCTGGGAGGGTCACTGATGACCTCTGTATGGCTAAATCCAGTGGACATAATTCACTGGTAGCTTGGGTTTGTTTTTTGTTTGTTTGTTTTGAGACAGAGAAGTCTCACTCTGTGGCCCAGGCTGGAGTGCAGTGGCGCAATCTTGGCTCACTGCAACCTCTGCCTCCCAGGTTCAAGTGATTCTTCTGTCTCATCCTCCTGAGTAGCTGGGATTACAGGTGCCTGCCACCACGCCCGGCTAATTTTTGTATTTTCAGTAGAGACAGGGTTTCACCACGTTGGCCAGGCTGATCTCAAACTCCTGACCTCAAGTGATCCGCCTGCCTCGGCCTCCCAAAGTGCTGGGATTACATGCATAAGCCACTGTGCCTGGCCACTTGATTAACCATTCGACTGCCCTTCTTTCTGAAATGTTTTACCCTTGGCTTCCACAGCACCACATTCCCCCAGTTTTCTTGTTACCCTCTTGGCCACTCCTTTTCAGTTTCTTATGAAGCTCCTCTTCTCCTCATACCTTTAATGTTGGTGTTCTGGCATAGGCCTTGTTCTGGCTTTACTAGCTATCTAGGAGATTCTATGTACTCTCACGGCTTCAGGTATTCTGGTCTCAGCTCTGATGTTCAGTCCATTTCTCTCCTGATTCTGTTTATGTAGTTGCCTACTGAACACCTCCATTTGGAGTGCTACAAGTATCTCAATCTTAAGGCATCCAAAATGAAGGCCGGGCACGATGGCTTACACCTGTAATCCCAGCACTTTGGGAGGCTGAGGTGGGCAGATCACTTGAGGTCAGGAGTTTGAGACTGGCCTGGCCAACATTGTGAAACCCTGTCTCTACTAAAATATAAAAATAACCCAGGCATGGTGGCATGTGCCTATAGTCCCAGCTACTTGGGAGGCTGAGGCAGGAGAACTGCTTGAACCTGGGGGGCAGAGGTTGCAGTGAGCTGAGATCACGCCACTGCACTCTAGCTTGGGCGACGGCGACAGAGTTAGACTCCGTCTCCAAAACAACAACAACAAAATAACAAAATGGTACCCATTATCTGTCTGCTTTGCCATATTCTCTCCTCCTATCTCCACAGCATCCACTTAAGCCCGAAATCTCTAGAAGCCCTCATCCTTGACTCTTCCCCCATCTCACTCTGTGTAGCTCATTAGTCACTAAATTCTGTTTGTACAATTCCTAAACTTCTATTAAATTTGTCTGCTTCCCTCCAGAGTCCTGCTAATTCCCTGATTCCGGCCATTACCATTTCATGCCTGCGTTATGCTGAGGACCTCCCGTCTGGAATCTCATTTTCCGTATCTTTACAAAGCAGATCTATCACTCTGAACTGTTGCCTCAGCCTGAGTTTTGATAGGTGTGCTGGGATCCGACCATTCAAAATACAGTCACTGGAATCTGAAGAAGTATTCTGTGGGAGTGAATGGAAATATATATGACTTTTAAACGGGCAAAGGTAATGTTTTTCTGTAAGAATTAAATACCTGCAGTTGTATTATTTTAAGGACCATTTTGAGAGGTGAGCTGCAAAACACCGGTCAGGTCCCAACATCTGTCTGCTGGTGTTTTTTAAAATGTGGATTGCCAAAATCTTTATTCATGATGGGCATTACGTAGGAGTGGTTAACACACAGCACTTACCTGTGTCAGGCACATTGATCAAAACAACCGATGAAGCATTATTCTTATTCAACATAAAAGAAAAATCTAACTTGGATGTGAATGATCAGAGAACTTACGTTTTAATTTTTAAACCTTTCAGAAATTAATACAGGTGTTTATAACTTCCACTTTTTAAATTATTTCACTTACTGAACAGATATTAGTGAACTTCTAGGTGCTGAGGAAGCAACAAAGAGCAAAGCAAACTCCCTGTCCCCCAGGAGTTCGCATTTTAACGGGGAAGAAAAATAAGCAAGTGAAATGAACGACAGTGAGAAGACGGAGCAGGGAGATGTTACTATTGCTTGTAGGGTGGTCACAGAATGCCTGAAAAAACAACTTTTTTGAAGATTTGAGAAAAAAATAAAAACCATTTGGCCAAAACAGCCCTGAGGAGGGCAGCTTCTTCCACCACTCTTTCATCATTTTACCATCTGTGGGTTATCGCCGGGGTCACTGCCATCCCAGCCTAGGTTTTATACAGGATGGAGTACGAAGTTCCCGCAACTATCCAAACGTGCTAAACAAACAAACAAACAAACAAACACTATTTAAAAAGGAATCCTGCTTGTGCCTGCGCTACGTTTTTCTTTAGTCTCTTTAGTTGACTTGGAATCTCTGCCTGTTCTCGGTGCATGCGGCTCGAAGGTGGGCTGGGGAGCTCCCTTTCTCTTAGCCACCTCGCGGCCAGCACTGGAACCCGATCGGGGTGTATCTGCGGGGGTGCGGCGATGGTTCGGGCCCTAACGTCGCCAAGGACGCCCGCTTCGGCAGCAGGAGCTGCGGCGTGCCCTGGCGCTACTGAACACCCGGTAGGACGGAGGGCCCAACGGGGGGGGTCCGCACTCACAGCCTTGAGCCCGCCCCTGCGCCCGGCACCCTCAGCCCACGCTCCGCCCTGTCCCCACGGCGCTAGCGTTTAACCCCACGCCCCGCCTCGCCCCGCGACCCACGTGCCCCGCCCCCGCCCCCACGTGCCCCGCCCCCGAGCCCCGCTCAGCCCCGCCCCCGTCCCCTGTCCGCCCCCGTCCCCTGTCCGCCCCCGAGCCCCGCCCCGCCCCCCGCGTCCGGCTCAGCCCCTCACCCCGAGCCCCACCCACCGAACCCCGCCCGCGCCGGGAGCATCTTGCGTACCCAGCGGGCCCCCGGGTCGGTTTCCGCGGTGGCCATGACGGCGGCCGTGTTCTTCGGCTGCGCCTTCATTGCCTTCGGGCCTGCGCTCGCCCTCTATGTCTTCACCATCGCCACCGATCCATTGCGTGTCATCTTCCTCATCGCTGGGTGAGGCGGTCGCGTCGGGAAACCCGGACGCCGGGGCTCCCCTCCCCCGCCGGGGTTCCCCTCCCCCGCCGGGGTTACCCGCGACCCTCGGCGCCCCCACCGCGCGGCTCGACCTTGTTGCGTTTCGGACGGGAGGAGGGTTGAGAGGGGGAGAGCGGAGATCCCGCTCCCCAAAGGCGCCTCGCCCTCTTAGGAAGAAGCGCACACTGGGGGTCAGGGCCTTTTGCCTGGGGCCCATGGCTAGGGTTTAGTGATCCGTGAAGCCACTAAAGTTGTATAAAAAAATTATGGATAAGTTCATATATGCATCGTCAGCATCCTTCATTTTCTGGAGAGGGAGTCCCTAATTTCCCTCAGATTCTCAAAAGCATCTGTAATCCCCAAAGGGTTAAGAACCATTGGCGTCTAGGATAGTAGTGCGCGACCTCTGCCAATTAGAATCACCTGTGGCCAGGTGCTTTAAAACATGCCGATGCCCACTCCCACCCCGATCCGTTGAATCAGAATGTCTAGGGGATGGGATTCGGGCTTCAGAAAAAAATTTTTTAAAGCTCCTTTTGAATGGTTCCGTTGTGCAGCCGAAGGTTGGAAACCTGTAAAAACACCGAAGCACCTGACTGTACATCTCCTTGTGGGAGCTTGATAAATACCGGACTGTGTTGTCCCATCCCAGTCATCACCTGGCTCTTCCTTGCACATACCACATCCCCCTCCCCTGATGAGTCTCTCTTGGCACCGCACTAGGCCAGTGATTCCCACTTTTCTGCGTTTCTTCACCTCCCACAAACGAAAGTGGTTCGTTGCATGTCATTTAAAAAACAATAGAGACTTGGGGAAAGGTCTGTAAAGCTTGCTATAATCATTAGAATCCCCAGGGGTGCTGTAAGACCTGGAGGGCTTGGATACTGATCCAGACCAGAACACAGGTTTTCAAGTTGAATTTTATACCAATCACTTTAATAGAGATGTAGATATTTTTCTGGAAAAGATACTCATCTTTGCAGATATCGGACCAGTAAATCCATAATTTCTTGTAAGTTTTTAGAATATGAAAATTGCAGTAATCAGTTGTATATTTTCTTGTTTTGGCTTTTCAGTGGGCAGAGCATTGGTTAGAAAGAATAACAAATAACCAAGTTTCTAGCTAGACAGCCCTTGGCAGATAGAGTCTGCAAATGTACTTGCAAATAGCAGGGTCACTGAAAAAAGAGTAATTGTTGGGAAACCTCAACATTCCTCTTGGACATGTCTGTCTCACCAAGGAAAATGCACCGTTAAGAACAACAGATCAGAGCATCGCTATGAGGACTTTTTTTTTTTTTTTTTTCCTTATTAAAACGTCAAGAAATCTCTTCCTTCTTAAGCAGGTTTTTTTTTTTTTTTTTTTTTTCCTGCTTTTAAACATTATTAATCCTGTACTGATGTTCACTTGTAACATTTTTTCCCCTATTTTTCAGAGCTTTCTTCTGGTTGGTGTCTCTACTGATTTCATCCCTTGTTTGGTTCATGGCAAGAGTCATTACTGACAACAAAGATGGACCCACACAGAAATATCTGCTCATCTTTGGAGCGTTTGTCTCTGTCTATATCCAAGAAATGTTCCGATTTGCATATTATAGACTCTTAAAGTAAGTTAAATACCTGCGTTACCTTTTTTTTCCCTAGTTAGATTTTAGTTATGATTTGGTCATTTGAAACATGAATATAAGTATTGTATTTGTGCCCTCGTACATAGTACTAAGCCAAGAGATTGGTACATTTCCAGCCTGAAAATATTGAGTGTTCTTTTATCTTGTGGAAATTTCTTCTTTCCTTCCTTTCTTTGTTTATTCAAAAAAATATTCCTTGAGAATCAATCCCAGACACTATCCTAGGTACTGGGGATACATCAGTGATTAAAAGACCGGGTCTCTGGCTTCATGGAGCTTATATTATAGTAGGAGGAGACAGACAATAAATGAATGAACAAGAAATACACCGTTAGGGTAGATAAGTGTCATGGAGACAAACAAGCTAGGGAAGCATTAAAACAACTACATAAATCATTCCAGTTTAGAGTGTATATATTCTATGTTCTCCTCTTTGCCACCACCTAAGATAATTCTTTTTTTTTTTTTTTTTTTTTTTCCGGAGACGGAGTTTTCATTCCTGTTGCCCAGGCTGGAGTGCAATGGCGCAATCTCGGCTCATGGCAACCTCCACCTCCCGGGTTCAAGGGATTCCCCTGCCTCAGCCTCCCAAGTAGCTGGAGTTACAGGCGTGTGCCATCACACCCTGCTAATTTTTATAATTTTAGTAGAGATGGGGTTTCACCATGTTGGCCAGGCTGGTTTTGAACTCCTGACCTCAAGTGATCTGCCCAACTTGGCCTCCCAAAGTGTTAGGATTACAGGCGTGAGCCACCACGCCCGGCCAAGATAAATAATTCTTATGGAGACCATGCCTTCCATTATTTTGACTGTAGTAGGGGAAAACCAGAGTTCATTTTGTGATATTTCCGGTAGTTTTAAATCTATAATAGAAAATTACATTTTAAAAAACGCCTTGGGCTCCCTTGTTGGGCCAGAAAGTAGGTCTTCTCTAGGACTCATGAGGACCTCACATGAAACTGCTGGTTTGAAACACAGCGGGAACTTGGAACCATATTTCCTTTCAGGCAGTCATGAGATTGGCTTTGATTATGTAGTAAGACTTAGTAGAGTGATAAATGTGCTGTCTTTTTTCATTTCTACAAATGAAGTAATTAAGGCTGTCCATGAATTTCATGGATATAACCAAGAGGAACCTCAACAACAACTCTTTTTCACAGGCTTCTGAGAACTTGTTCTTGCCAATATGCTAGGTTTTCTGTATTTGTTACTCTTTGCTTTTAATACCAGATACTGAATTCCCTTTTCATAATGAAGGAATTTAAATTAGAAATTGAAAACCAGGAAGCCATTGCTTAGAAGCAAAAATCATAGAAAAGTTTCAAAAATGAAATTCCCATTAGTACCTGGAAATATTACATGGGAGCAAATAAATATCAAAGGTAACATCGAAATTTCCATGTAATACAACATCCCTAACAGATGGACATCTAACTGTGTTTGAATGTTTCTGGTATGTGGCAGTTACTACCATTCTATGATTTTAAGCTTAACCGTAGAATATTAATAAGGTAATCAAATCTACTTCCGCTGGGCTTGGTGGCTCATGCCTGTAATCCTAACACTTTGGGAAGGCAAGGTGGGACAATCGCTCGAGCTGAGGATTTCGAGACCAGCCTGGGCAATATGGCAAAACCCTGTGTTTACAACAAATACAAAGATTAACTGGGCATAGTGGTCCCAGCTCCTTGGGAGGTTGAGGTGGGAGGATCACTTGAACCCAGGAGGTGGAGGCTGCAGTGAGTTGTGATTGCACCACTGTGCTCCAGCCTGGGCAACAGAGCCAGACCCTGTCTAAAAACAAAACCAAAACCTCCCCTCTTGTGACCTCTGCCCTACTCGAGTACCAAGTAAATGAAGCCTCTGCTGCATGGTTATCATTACCTCCTTTTCAGGGTTGAACAGTCCTCATTTCTTCCCCTGGACCTCAGCAGGCATGGTTGTGGCTTCCAAACCTTTCCAAAAGAAAGGCTGTTTGTTCTTTTGGATCAGTGAACGTGACACTTTTTGTCAGCGCCTGGTTTCTGCCTGTGCTCAGGACCCAGCATGGTGTTCTGCAGTGCGGTCTGAGTAGTGCCCCTGACTGGGCGCTGCAGTCTTCACAGCTCAGCCTTACATTGCACTGGGTTTTCCTGTCAGTGACATCACTGGCTCATACGCATTTTCATACCATGGGTCTAATTTTGGGGGAAAAAAAAAAAAAAAACAGAAACAAACAAAAAAAACCCCTTAATTTCTAATACAGAATTAAAGTTTAGGACTTGTATGTTCTAAAACCTGAATTACCAGAGTGACAAAATGAGTATGGGCTGTTCGTCACTCCCTTGCATCTTCATGGTTTCCACCTGAAATGGCAACATTTTCCTAGCACTAGCTTAGCGCTCCAAAGGTCTGTAGCTGAACATAGATCCACATTTTTGTTCCTCTTTTTTTTTTTAATTTTAATTTTTAAAATTTTCTTTTCACAGTGAGGAGCAAGGGTCCACTTTTTAACGAGGGCAGGAAAGGAGTAGGGCCACATGAGGAAGAAATTACAGCTGTCAGTCCTTAGGCTCGAATGCCAGGAAGTTCAGAGAAGCCTCTTTAGCCTCCTAGGGAAACCATGTTTGCTTTTCTGAAAGGACCTTTGGAAATTTGCAAATGGTAGGACAGACTTGTACTGACAGGTACGTTTGTTTGCATTTGCAAAATGCATCTTTTACAAGCCTTTAGAATATTCAAAATTTTCCCAGCAAATTTGAGCAATGTAGGATGTTATGTAGTTGTATTAAAACAATTTAAGAATTATGATGCTTTATTTATGACTGACATTTATATGGATACGTTTACATTGCCCTTTTATGCTATATTACATTCAAATATAGGGACTTTGGTTTAATCAATACTTTATCTCCATTGCCAAAGTAGGTCTTGAACTTTTAAATTTAAAGTGCTACCTCAGACTTTTGCTATCAGAATTTGGTGCCAAGATTAAAATGCAGAGAGTTTATACCAGTTTTTAGAAATATATGGAATTGTATCAAAATATTCATTGCAATCTAATAATAATTTTATTTCATGAGTTAGGCCTTAGTCACTTAATCTTACTAATCTTATTCTTACATGAATGAATAGAAACTTTCAGCCTGGAAAAGCCTGGCATAATGAGAAATTGGCATGTGTGGCAGCCCTTTCTACAGTAATTTCTTTTTAAATCCAAGTTATGTTGCTTAAAACATAATCATATTTTGCCAAAAACATACAGTTTAGGCAACTCAATGTTGCTTGAAGCTCCTGTATGTTGTCTAAAACAGACATTAGGATTTTTTCTGTTTGGATGGAAACTTTTGTAATTTAATTCAATTTTGTCTTAAAATGTTGATACCATAAATATTTTGTAATTTTAGAAAATCTTCCGTGTATAGAAAAAACATTAGGATAACCATTGCTACAACTT